TATATAAAATCTTGAAACACCATATCATATTTTTTTTATTTATCCTCACCTATATAGTTTAAATTTATTCCCATTTGTGTAATGCTGCAAAACATAGAAAAAATATTCCATATTTTTTGACCCAAGCCAGTGTAGCTTATAGATTGAAATTTAAAATACGATTTTTTTAAGGGAAAATATCCAAAAGTTGACATATGATAATCCATTCTATCCAGAGTGTAATTTTCTATCCAATGAAATAAAAATATACCGAGGGTGCAAAAATGAAAAGTTGTAGTAATTTCCGGTGAAACAATTGAATACGTCAATCAATCCTAATTTAGGTCATATACTAACATACCAAATCTCGTTTTATTATCTGAAAAAATAAAAGTAATAGGGATGAGCCACTTTTGAGACACACCCGGTTATAGTAGGACTCTATAGTTCTGCGGCAATTTTCTAAAAGATTCAGGATTTTTTCAAGTGAAGTTTCCAGATGAGTTTTGCGTGAAAAATCACACAAAGGTATTTGACTTCTGAATCCTTAACTTCCTTTCCCTAGTAAGGGATCATGTCCAGTAATACATATCTAAATCGGCCTTAAACAAAACGATGTTTCCAAACATCACTTTAACCGTTGACGTTTAATAATTTAAAAAATATAATAATTATTAATGTTATTTTTTATTTCAATGATCGCATTCTGTATTTTTGTTCCGATATTGTGACTTACTATACACTATTCGCAGTATATTCTCAGTTTTAAAGTACAACAAATGGAATAGTCAAAATATTTTAATGTACCTACTGTAAAACACATATATCCTATTTTGACAGAAACGGTTGAGTCATAAATAGTTTATGAGTCAGATAAAGTTTAATAGGACGCGATAATGCATATAACACATCAGAGACAATGTGACCGATCTTTAAATTCCATCCGCAAACAGTTTAGGAGATGTTCTTTGTACGCCCATTTTTATAGCACAAAAGTACATTAAACTTACTTAACAATGTATGTGTCTAAATACTTACAGTGTGTAGAGTATGTACAATGTCCTATACATATATACGGCTGAATCGAAAATATTAAGTGGCTTTAGCAAATTGATTTATCACTACTGTAGTTAGCAACACAATCCTCGCAGTTGGCCCACAATCCTCTGAGGGAAGACTGGGAGATGGCCAAGTTAGTAATAGCAGAACAAAAACTGAAATGGGCTATTGACGCCTTTCAGCCTTATAAAACAGGAACGCAAGGAACTACACAAGGTGGAGTGACCTCCCCCCTACTGTGGAGCTTGGTAGTGGATGAACTTCTAGACGAATTAACTCTAGCGGGAACACACTGCATAGGGTATGCAGATGACATAGTCATGATTACACGAATGAAACATGAAGGCACCCTGTGTCATATTATCCAAAAAGGACTCCACATCTCTGAGAGATGGCTGAGAATGGTAAGACTGTCGGGCTGAGCATCAACTCAGACGAAACCGCGGTAGTGCCATTCACCAGAAAGCAAAGTACGCAAAACTTGAAAAGAATCCATCTAGATGGAAATGAAATACTCACATCATAGGAAGTCATATATCTGGTAATAACCTTGGACAGTAAACTTCTCTGGAACAAGCATATTAAGAACATTACCAGCAAAACCACAAAGGCTCTCATGATGTGCAGAAGACTGGGGAAATAGATGCTAACATTTGCGCTAGATGTATACCATGATAGTAAGATCCATGATTACCTAATAGTGTAGTAGTGGGGGTAATTAAGAGATTGCAAGGCTACCTCGCGTCCGTAGCAGGAAATGCTACACGTGCACCCAGGTAACGCTAAATGGTAGTGCGACCCTCGGCAGCCAGCAATATCTCCGGATCTCCTGGCTACTATACATGGATTCATATATTCGAAAATCTTCCAAACACGGCCCTTCTCAGGACCAATCGACAAAAAATCTCGGAAAAACAATCGAATTTGCCAATTAAACGCCAAAGGTCTTAGCAGAGCTAAAAGCGAGTACATTTCGAAACTCTTGCTAGACCAAAAGATTGACATGGCTGTTATCGAGGAAACCCCTATAGAGAGTGAAGACCAGCAACGTCGCAGAGGCAAAATTCATGGTTTTGACCTACTTGGAGCTACCTACCACCGCTCATATGGAGTCGCAACCTACGGTTCGGAATGACATTGAAAACGCTATATTATTAAATTCTACAGTAGACTGTAGAAGACATCTAAAAGAAACTCTCAGACATCCACCAAGTAGTAACAAAAATAGCTGACATTACCGTCGTTAATGCCTATAAGCCACCTCAAACATCCTGGCCTGATAATGTCTTAAATGTCTATCTACACCCTGCAATATATGCAGGCGACTTCCCATAACCATCACCTGCTTTGGAAATATAGAACCACTGATGAAAACGACGTCTTGCGAAACTGGGGCTGAATCACATGATCTTCTTTGATTTTTTGATGCCAAAGAACAAGAAACTCTTTCAAATCAGCTGCGTGAAACACTGAAGCAAATCTCTCTGTTTTTGTCTCAGAGAATGCCAAAAAACACGTCTATATCCAATGTCGAGGGAAAGTTCTGGATGACTTCCACACAGTCAACATCGCCCCATAGTTCTCGAAACTGAAATTAAAATTCCGATAATCCATTCTACACCCAGGCCTAGGTGGAATTTGGAAAGGCCCAATAAGGACAAATTCGCTGTGGAGTTGGACAATGTCGTCAGATTGATCCCTCCTAAAAGCCACAATTATGGTAGGCTGGCAAAGCCGTTATAACAACAGCAAAAAATTAATAGCCCATACGTGGATTTCGAAAGGAATATGTCCCAGGATGGAGCGACGACATGGAACAGCTCTATCAGGAATTTCAGAACAACGGAGACTCTGAGATAGCAGACGAGCTCCTTAATCGTCTTGATATAGAACGCTGTAAAAAATGGGAAGAAACGACAGGTAGAATGGATTTCAAAAAATCTAGCAGGGGGCTTGGAGCCTTCTGAGGAAACTGGGCAGCTCTAACCCACCCACTCGTGAACCACCGGAAGTATCAGCAGACCAAATCGCTGCAAAAGTGATAACACTCTCTAAGGCCCCTAGCAGCAAACAACAAAACGCAAATATTAAAAAACAACTGACAATCTGCCGCCAAAAAGCAAGTGCCCACTCTGAATACGCCAAGTCATTCTCTGTGGAAGAAGTCGATAAAGCACTGGAAAACACCAAATCTGGTAAAGCTCCTGGATTCGATGGAATTCGCCCCGAATTCCTCAAAAACTGCGGGAAACATACAAGAATGTGGCTGAGTAAATTCTATTCCGATATCCTACGAACAGGGCATATTCCAATAGAGCTCAAGAAATCCAAAATAGTTGCAGTTCTAAAGCCAAACAAACCTAAGAACTTGCCTGAAAACTACCGCCCAATAGCCTGATTAAGTTCATGCTACAAACTTCTAGAACGTATGCTATTAAACCGAATAGGCCCATTGATATTGGAACATACTCCTGTTGAACAGGCTGGATTCAGACCGCATCGTAGCTGTGTGGACCAGGTACTCAGCCTAACAACACACATTGAAGCAGGATTCCAAAAACAGCTGAAGACCACTGTGGTGTATGTTGACTTGACTGCGGCGTATGACACGGTCTGGAGAGAAGGTCTTCTATACAAATTCCTCGTAGTACCATGCAGTAGAATAGCATCTCTATTAAACAACATGCTGGATGAAGGGCGACAGGCCCTTCCAAATAATAACAGGAAAAAGAAGGAGTAAAATAAGACACCTTAATAATGGGCTCCCTCAAGGCTCTGTACTCGCACCGGTACTGTTTAATCTATATATCTCCGACATTCCACATACAACGTCAACAAAATTTGGGTATGCCGACGATTTAGCTCTTGCTATCGGCAGTAAAACTATAGAGGAAGCTAATGGCCTACTATCAGAAGACCTATCTGTACTGGGAAAATATTTCGCAAACTGGAGACTAATCCCAAATATGAATAAAACTGAACTGTCGTGCTTTCATCTCAATAATAAACAAGCACGCCTGGAGCCCCCAAGTATACTTCAATAACAACTTGCTACGTTATAACCCTTATCCAAAATATCTAGGAGTAACAATGGACCGAACACTCTCGTACAAAAGGCATCTAGAGAATACTGCAGCTAAAATAACTACTAGAAATAATATAATACACAAACTTTGCGGTACTCTTGGGGCGCAAACGCATCCACTCTTAAAACATCAGCTCTCAGCCTAGTTTACTCAGTTGCTGAATATTGCGCTCCAGTTTGGCTAAACAGCTGCCACGTAAAGATAATTGACACCAAACTTAATGAGACTATGAGAATAGTCAGCGGCTGTTTAACAAGCACACCTCTACCTTGGCTGCCCACTCTGAGTCATATTGCACCTCCCAGTATTCGAAGACAGGAAAGACTCGTTAAGGAATATCAGAAAATATTATCAAATCCCCACCTTCCAGTCCACAACGACTTGCCAGATGCCCGTCTGCGAAGACTGAAGTGTAGATCCCCCCACTACTATTAGCAGAACAACTTTTGGGAGAAAACTTCAGTATAAATGATAAATGGAGGGAGTACTGGAACTCTTTGAAACCAGATCAAGCAGCTTATGTCATCGACCCTACAGCAGCTCTACCAGGGATGGAGCTGCCCCGCCACGAGTGGAAGGTTCTCAACAGGGTAAGAACGTTTCATGGCATATGTTGTGATTCTTTTTATAAATGGGGACTGACCGGATCACCGACTTGTGACTGCGGAGAACCACGTCAAACTGTTCATCACATTGTAACTGAATGCCCTCTTACAGCATATGGAGGAAAAGCGAGTGATTTCTTTGAAGCCACAGACACCGTGTTGAACTGGATCAATAGCCTAGATTTTAAAATTTAAGTGTACTTTTTGTAATATGTTTTGTGTATAACTTTTTAGATATCTAGTTTTATTTTTACAATTTGTGACAATCTGTTTACATGTTATATTGTGTTTGAATATATACATTGATGTTGTAATTAAATCCATGTACGCCATGCGCTAAATAAAATAACCTAGTGTAGTAAGATCCATGATTACCTAGTAGCTTGTTACACAAAACTAGAGCAACGCACAGCTAGGCAAAACCTGTGTAAGTACAAAAACTGGCATACATCTGCATCACAGGTGCTATGAGAAACCTAGAGAAGATTATTCACAAAATAACACCTAGAACTGACCTTTAAATGTGTTAAATAGGAAAAAAACATCAAAAAATGCTAGTTTTCTTCATATCCTCGGCGAAAATATTTCTGAACTGACGAGGCTCCCAATATCATTGAAATCAGTACAGGCTTAGGTGTCTTAGTGGCTAAGCGGGTTCTGACGTTTGACAGGTAGGATATATTCTGATTTCTAGTACGGACGAGTGGAGCTGAAAAATTCAGCCAAGTGCGAAGCGCAGTCCGCAAAACTGTTACAAATTTTATATAGAAAAGATAAAAAGTGCAGCCTAAGAGTTTGCTCAATAGATAGAACATCAAACCTTTCCAATAGCTGTGATTGGTTGCAACCGCACTCTGGAAAAACCATCCACTTTGAACGTGAGATATTTTAAGAATTTATATGCTGAATATTTTCCAATCGCCTGATATGAACCTGGTGAATTAGTGACCAAATTTGAGAGCATATTTGATTTCACAGGGCTCATGAATAATACTTTTCAGCATAGTGGACAAGTGAAATCTTGGGTGAGATATCAGGGAATATCCCTAAACATTTCAAACGCCACGAATGCTTCATCGTGCTCTTGTGTTAAAAGTTAACCTCTTATCTTGTAAACGCTTAAGTCATTAATATGTTTGCAGTTTTTAAGGATTTCGTATATATTAGTTTATGGTACAGGAGGTGGTCAAGTTCAATACCTTATATTTTTTACCATTAAATGTGTTTAAGTCGATTATCTACACAGCCCCAATCAGAATAATACCAAGATCCGGCCTGCAGACGGATGGAGTCTTCTCACACCGGACGACATTAAAATTTTAGATCATCCCGCAAATAAAAGCGAATAACTTTTCAATTTGGTCACTATATCATTTAGTATACAGGTCCGGTTACATAAGGATATCTAGGCATGGAATTACATGCATTGGAATGAAACGCCCTATAAAAGTCTAAGCTTAAACAGGACAACAACTTCCCCGTTTCCACTTCCCACCCACTGTCGAGTTAGACAAACTCCAATAAGATAACAAATTTTGGAAATTCCGCCGCCTCCCATCCACCCATGATACCCATCCACCTGCCCTTTATCGCCATTATTTTATTTCCCTTCCCGCGCCTCCGCAAAACGCCATCACCTCAGTCCATCACAGAGTTGCCAGGTCTATCGGTTTCGTCTGTAAGCTCCCGATCTACCGATTTAAACAAAAATCTAAGGATATGTTCAACTGCGTCTTTAGTCTAATCTGACTTTATTATTGTTTATTAAATTTTATTTAGTAATCATAGGTCATCGTTCTGTTTAGTTGCAGAGTGACAAATATATTCCTACAAATCCTTATACTCTTTATTAGGCGCGGTATTGGCGATATGCCCGAAGAAGTTGATATCTTTTGAAAAGATTTTGTTTCATTCATCTACTAAAGTTGAACCCATATTTTCCCCAAAAAAAATATAAACAAAAAACAAAATCTAAGTTAAGAAACAAACTGAATACGGATAAATATTTTAGTGCTTTTCCTGCCAAAAAAATATATTAATATGAAAAAAGAATTGAGAGTTGCTACAGCTTTCCCACTGAAATGAAATTAATTTTAGATATTACTGATCAAAATTTGTACAAAGGTAAAAAGTGACCGCTATCCCTACTTATTATAGTTTTTATTAATATAATATATTAATATTGTTTAATTTAATATATATCTTTTAATATTAAATAATATACCTCTTCCTCAAACCGGAGTCATCCACTCCTGGATATAGGTCTCTCCTATCCTTTTCCGTGTCTCCCTGTTTTGTGCTGTATTTAACCAATATTACCTGCCACTTCCCTAATGTCACGCAGCGACGTGCCCCTGCCCACGCGAGCCTTAGCTTATCTCCCAAGACCATACTGGGGAAATCACTGTCCCATCCCATTCTCCTATGCAAACCTCAAAATTTTCCAATCAAAAGCGTGGCCTTGAAATTGCCAAACCTCTAAATCACGAAATGTCGAACTTTAAAACAAAACTACCCCAGGCGAGCAGAACGTATGATTCAGAATCTCGCACTGAATATAATATACCTAGCTATTTCTAATTCTTGTTATATTTATTATATTTGTATTTTATTTGAGTGATCTAGTATTACGACACATAGGAAAGCTAATTTTAGACTTAAATATTATATTTTATTTTCTTTTGATTTTTGTTGAAGATCTACCGAGAATTTTGTTCTCGTATGGAATTATAATCTAACAAACCCGGCAATCCTGTTCGGCTACTCCTTTATAAAGTTTTTTCGGCCTAATTCCTTTGTCACCGCCGCCGGCGACCGACCGGTCGGTGTCGGGGCGACTGGAAGGAAGATCGTACATTATTGCCATTTCATAGAATTGCACTTGCTATTTTAGAAATGATTTCAAACTTCTGCATGTTACTTTTTGTTTTAGAAAGAAGTTGGTATGTGCCTAGAGAAAACATTCTTAAAATTGTTTTGTACTTTATTTAATATTTCATTAAGTAGGCAAGATAATGGGATTAGAAGATCCGGGATTTAGGATAAGCCAACATAATTTTGATTTAACAGAATGGCAACACTGTCCTTCTCTTTCTATTTTTTCCATTCTATTCTATTAGTAGCCGGTAGCCCCCACACAAGCGTCTTAAAGACCCGCCCCCTCACGCAGAAGCTCTCTCGTCGTATTACTTCTATGATCACTTCCCCTATACAATGGTAGGGAAAAGACACTTTATCTGTCTCTGTTGTACTGCAGTGTATTTTTCAGCCTTACCATCTTTTTTTTATCGCATTGAAAAGCTCCTATTGCTAATGAAATTTTGCCACACGTGTATATTGTAAAAATAAATGGGGGGCCATAAAGGAATCTGCTATGTCGATGGACACAGGAAGAAAAATCCCTTTTTTGACATTTTCATCTTATCACATATTTCTGTTAATTGAACCCTTTTTTTGTTAACAAAAACTTAAAACTGACACTTAATACGGACATCATAAGGAAACTGCAGGTCGCACAAAGTTCAATGAAACGAAATATGCTGAAGATCATAGCCAAGAGAGACCGTAAAATAATAGAGTGGCTACGACAAAAAAGAGGTAATAGATGTCATCCACAGAGTCAAATCCCTTCAATGGCAATGGGCAGCAACCAAACCAAATCAACACCTGGCAAGAAGAAGGGATAACAGATGGATCACAAAAATTACAGCATGGTTCCCACGAAGAATTAAGAGACCTAGAGGAGGACCAAACCTGGGATAGGACCATGATATTAGGAAATCAGCAGGGATAACTTGGGTCCGCATAGCCAACAATAGACAATAATGAGCCCAACTACAAGGAGACTTTGTAAGGGAGCCATAATGAAAGAACCATAATTCGAAATGGTTGAATAAGTTGACATATGTCCAAAAAAAATTGAAAATCAAAAAACTGAATAATATAGTATCATAAGGTCAAAGAGTATTGCTGTTAAATTGCTTTCCATTTGTCACTGTTATACAGTCTTAAATAGGTAAGTGCAAATATTTTAGGGGTAGTATATTTCG